TTAAAACAAATAAATAATTAAAATCTGATCCTTAATTAATCTAATTTTTTATATCTTGATTTGCAAATTTAATTTTTGTAAATAAAATAATATTAACTTTACTCAAAATTATATTAAAGATTTATAGAAGATGTATTTACTTTAATAATAACAATAATAAATACTTAACATTAAAAGAATCAAAAAATTTAGCTTTAAAAATAAGTTATCAATTACAATATTTTATTAATATTTATTATTTAAAAGTAGAGTTTATTAATAACTTAAATTAAAAAGTTATTCATTATAAAATAATTTTTTACTTTTACTGAAACTTACTTAGCATTTCATAAAAAATCAATTTGTTAAGATGATTTAAATTTAATGAAGTTTATTACTCTACTGTAATCATAAATATAATATAAATTTATAAATAATATGTGTTTGTTTCCTTGCTTTAAATTTTTATTATAAAAATATTTAGCTTAAAAAAATTGTCCATAGAAGGATAATATAATAAATAAACAAAAGAAATCAAATACTAAATTAATTTTTTTTTAAATTACTAATTAAAATATTCTATTATTAAAATTCATTTTTCTTTGTTTAATATTATTTAGAATGGAAGGGCTTTATATAAATTAAGTGCTATTACTATTTAATTAATTGAAAAAAATCTTATTTTTAATAAAGAAGACTAATTTTTTATGTTTAAACGTGTTTTTACATGTAAGAAAAATGAGAATCTATCATTTGAACTTACACAAAAATCACTTTTATTATTGAAAAGACATAGAAACATATAAATAAATGATTTCATAATTTCTGATTTGAGTTTTTCTTCAGTTGCTATAAAATATTTGGAAGATTATTGAGTTAAACAATAATTCGATCCATGTTAAGTATACGAAGTATTTTTAAACTGATAAAGAACTACTTAATGCATTTTTATATGTTCCTATTTCATTCTATTAATTGAATAATTATCGTGCAATGAGCAGCAAATAGTTTTATCCTAAATTACTCAGTAAATGCGAGATTTAAGAATTTCCAAAGCCTAAGGGTTAGTGGAGATATTGTATTTTGAGTAAATTTCTCTTAAACTATGGTTGTGATGGAGATTCTTTGAAGGATTTAAGAGAGAAAAAGAACCTAGTAAAGCAGCTAAACCATAACTGAATTTTCTAGTTGATGGATTGGATACATATCTGCCTACAGCATAAATATATCCTAATAAAGCTCCTACTTATAAAAGTTAGCTTGTGCTTGATTTTTCGTTTGCTCTTGTATAATGCTTAATGTATTCTCTTCTATCAGCCTCACAAACCAAATCACTTTAAGAATCAACAATTATTTTAAATAAGTGAGGTTAAAGACTTTCTTACTATAATGACTAAACTAATTTTTATTCCCTTTGAAGTTGACTAGCCATTTTCCTTAATACGCTTTCCTTTAGTTTGCTAATTATTATCTATCGATCTGAATATCTTCAATAGTTTATTCCTAATTTAATATAATAACAATAAATTTCTTTCTCCCCTCATAAATTGAATTTGCATACATACAAGCAAACAAACAAATAAACAAAAAAAACAAGCTCTAAACAATCTTCCTAAACAAATTAATAAAATATATGTATGTCTTTTCATTCTAATTTAATCAAAAAGACTTGGATTTATGATAGCAAGAACTCATTCATTTTTAACTAAAATTCTTAATTGCATATCTATTTATCAAATTATTTTTATTTAGTGATTTGTTTTATTAACAATTTTATTGTTTATGTTCATTATTTAGCTTTTTAAATTATTTATCTTGTCATACTCATGCCTATTTTATTATTAAGCCATTCATATTTGTCTATTCAGTTTTCAATCTCCATATCAAATTATTTTATATATTTTTTAATTGATTATATCAATCAAATACTTGTTTCAAAATACAAAGAAAATGAATTTTTACATGTCTTGCAATTTATTTTTTTAATGGTTATTCATAAATTTATAGTATTTTAATATAGATAAATTTAATTTAAACTTTTATTAAATAAAACAAAGCAAATTTAATAATTTTTTTTTGGTTAAATCTAGAATTAATTTAGTATTTATATTAATAAGATAGTAATTTATTAAAATAATATTTAGTAGTTCTTTTACTTTTATTTAAAAATTGCTACAATTTATTTTTCAATTATTAGAAATAATTTTCAAAAAATTAATTCAAAAAATAATTTTATAAACTGATATCCTTCCTAATTTTTCAAAATAATTGAAGTCTTAGATCTTTTAGTAAATTCTAAATTACAAATTAAATAATAATAATCCTTTCATTACGTATAATTTGAAAATCTAAAGAATCCTTTGAGAAATTATCAAACAATTTAAAAGCAAATGTTTCTTTGAAAATAAATT